TAAAATTAAACATTGTAAAACAAGTTGTAATGCAAATAACATTTTTTGTTGGATTAATTGTCTACCTATTTCTAGGTAATTTACTTTGCATTAAGAACAATATTTTTTGTGATATAGATATTTAACAGAGTACAAAAATGATGAAAGAACATTAAAACACTAATTTCATAATCAACATGATGTTCACCGAAACTCACATGGTTTCATCATACCGCAGTCCATTACTTGCATTCTTTCAGTTATTCCACGTCATGAAAAGTATACATAATATAGAAAGGTCAGGAATGCCTGTATTCTGTGTTCACTTCCTTTTTCTCATTTTGTCAAGCATTCCCCACATTTACAACACATAATTACCTCTGATAATCATGATACAGAGGCATGAATTATCAGATACAACATTTTGCGGTAATCTGTGAAATCTGGTAATAAAATAATTATTTACATTTCTTGAAGCTTTAGAGCCGTGATTCTTACAATCAAGAATATGTGATACATAATTTTTTTTTTTTTTTATAAGAAGCAGACCCTGGACAAAGCAGATTGAAATTTGCCTCATTCGAAATGTATCAATATATTCCCAAGACAAAACTCATTTCCAGAGTTAGTCAACCATTCAGCAGTAGGCTCTTAACACAGTATTCCCTCAGCAAGTTCCTCTCACGAACATCACCGCGGGGACAATGACGGTCTTTTAATTAAGAGAGCTGAGAGGCTGATTGACTGTTGCCAGACTTATAATTGATAAGGTCATTTTCACTTCCTGTGCATTAACGTTGTGTACATCACTTTCCTGAATTTAGTAATGGTGATACAAACAGTTTAGACCATTTATACAATCAACTGTGCTTTCGCTGTTCTCTGTCTATAGAGATAAAAATAAGTGCAAAACGTGATATTGAAGAGAATTAAAGGAAATTGCCAAGGTTGTAAAATTCATATGTATGGATTTTTCTTTAGCATCTTGTGCGACAGTTACACATATGAATGGAGTTAATCAGTAGTACATATGAGTAGTATGCAGACTAGTATCTGGCGTATTCACAGCAACCTCCTCCGCTAAACTGTAGATGAAGGAGGAGCATAACCAACCTTCTAAGTCAGCTTTGTTTAGAAAAAAAAATGAGTAATATAGAGCAGTGAAAATCATCCAGGAGATAAGAGGGCAGGCCTGGAAGCAGTGTAAACCAGCTAGAGATCATTAATATGCAGTGCAAAGCAAGCACAAGTATAGATAAAACTGCCATGAAAATGAGCATTAGGTGTAACATGCCAGTCGTAAATAACAAACACATTTATATCGTAGACATAGACCAAGTGTAAGCAGTGACAGAAAGTCTGCATTGGATATGCCACTTAAATTGTAAGCACATGAGCATAATTGTGTGATCAAGCTTTGATGTAGGTCAGGTGTACTGATGAGATGCAGTAGCATAAACTAAACTTAGAAAAATAAGTATCCCAAGCTGGGATGTTAAGATTTGCCAAAGTGTAGAAACAAACTGAAGTAGGAGGCAAGCTTGTCTTAAGTAAAGTTTGTGTAAATTTTTACTAAAGTAAGAGGTTTAAACTGTATTGCATTGCTTTCTCTCAAGAAGGAAATTTATCGTGATAAGGAAACGTACTAGGAAACATAATCTTAAATCACTAGGCCAAACAAACATAAGTAGTTAAACTGACATCTCAGGGACGGCTGAAGTGGGTTCATTCAAAACTATAATGTGCACAGTGAAAAGCTGAAAGAGAAGGAGACGCAGTGGAAAAGTCATCAAGTTGTGTTAAAAAAAAAAAGAACAAATCCTTCAACTAAGCACTAAAAAAAAAAATACAAAAAACCATACAGTGATCATGAACTCGAGTGCAGCCATCTCATGATATTCCAAGAAAGAAATGCCAGTGGAAAAAAGTCTCAGTGCCGCATTGTACAAGGAAACGAGTGCCATTATGCTGTGCAAAGTTAGGCTGAAACAAGAGGCAAAATTTCTTTGAATTCAAGCTATGAAAGAATGTAAAAAGGTGTAGTAAACAGTAAGTGGTTTATGTTGTAAGGTTATGATGATGTAACGTCCAGTGTGTTGGACAGACAAAATCATACAGGCATTAGGCTTACTGGAAGGTATGTCCATAATGCAGGTTTGGGTTAACATTGATTACATTGTAAGTCGTTTTGAATCTCTATTGGTTAAAGAATTGAAGCATTATACTCTTAGTTGGATTCAAGCTAGAGTTTGGGATAGAGGTATAGTCAAGGACCAAGCTGGATCTGAAGTTTCACTATAGTTTGGGACCAAGCTTGAATGTCTGGTTACACTGAAGATTAGGTAAAAAAAAAAATAAAAAAAATAAAAAGAAAGAAAAAAAATGTATGTAAGGCCATGCTTTTGTAAAGTTAAGGTGAAATGTTTTGCTAAATGTTAACAACCCAATAAACCTTTGCCTGATGACTAAGCAGAATGGTTAAACAAATGCCAAAGTTTAATATTAACAATTTGATTTTCAGGTGATGACTAGGTGTGAGGACTGTGTACTGGCTATGTTCCATGTAAGAAATTTATGAATAGCATTTTACTGAACAGTGTTGAAGGGAAGTGCAAAACTAACCAGTACACGCAATACACAAGTAAAGTAAATCCAAACTATTACAAACATTAAGGTTATACTGGTGAATATTGGTGATATATTAAAACCACTTCACAGTAAGTATCAGTTATGTTGTCTGTGATCTTGCTAAAGCCATGCCAATGCTGATATACAAGGAAGATTATACACCTTTTTGACTATATTTATAGATTCTAACATAAACAATACACAGACATTTATACTGATGTTAAAAAACGGCCTTAGAATTTGCAAATTAAAGATACAAATGCTAAAGGTTGAATAAGTATTCATATGCATTGGGTTTAATGAATTATCCAAAATGCTAAAACCATATAAGTGCACATATCTATACAAAGATTTCTTCTGGTTGTGAATTTTTAAGGAAAAGTCCCATGTGCGTATGTGGGGTGTACATGTCTACATACACATGTCCGCTCTATTTTAAAATTTGAGCCTTGCTTAAAAATGAAGACTTCATTATCCATGAAAATCTCTTCTTATTTTGTCAGTGGCTTTCTAATCAATGTAAAAACATAATTTCATAATTTTTTTTTCTATGAAAATAGGTAATTCTGTGAGGAGATATATTTTTGACATGCATGAAATATTCACATGAAACTATCCTGTAAGCAAAAGAATGTCAGCCCAGAAACATATAGAACATATTGTAAGGCTCAATATGACCATTTATCCAACTTTCATAAATAATCAAGGTTGTCCAACTTCTAAATGCAAATTATAAATCAATTCCTCCTTTGCATTTATATCGTTCAGACAGTGAAACAAATACTGTGATATTTCAAGCAGTAATATTTTATTGACATAATCTTTCACTTTGAATATCAGTATAAGAGTGTATACATTAACCTTGTTAAATCAGCATAAGGTAGTCAGCTGTCACCCATTACACCTTATATAACAGTAACATTTTGTAAGGTCAATATAATCTTGTGTCCTGGAATGTATTGAGTAACTATCAGTCAGAAAAGGTGCAGAAACACTAGGAGTTATTATAGGAAAAAAATGTTTCTCTCATAAGTGTAACTGTTGCATTTGTAAGAGGATAGAATATGCCTAAACAGTTCTTACAGACTGTGACAACCACAAGATGTTTTGAGTCGACTTCAGCCCTGTTTTGAGAAAATACTCATAGTAATGCTGTTCAACATTGGCCTAACATGTCTAAAGAGTTATAGTCTTTTTGCTTTGGAGTTTTTGCATTAGTTTGAACCGATTTCATGAAACATATGCACTAAAGCTTGACATCTTTTATAAATAATAATAAAATAATAAAGAATTAATAAATCTAATTTACAAAAAAAGAAAAAGAAAAAGAAAAAGAATATCATAGTTATGAGAACAGCTATGAACCAGGTGCAGGGGCTTACAAACGATCAGAATTAGAGCACTTAGCCAGACCCAAAGTAGTAATGAGCATTGTAAACGCGTCGTTCATATTACATGTAGGTGAGAACCACTTATTTTAATACAGCAGTGTTTAGTCTGTTCCTGTCATTGGCACTTATCTAAAGTGTTGCACATAAGTGGTAGCTCATAAGTGGTTCACATCTAGTTTCATCACAAATCACTTCAGATCATCATAGGTTTGTAGAGTATGAGTAGTTTACACTTTTTATGACAAGTAATCTTGAATAAGTTTCCTCGGGCATTCTATAAACTGAACTCTTCTCACATCTGTGAAAGTTCTATTTTTACATGTTTAGGAAATAATTCCTTCCAGGTCTTACAGTTTACATGACCAATCATTGCATCTGCTTTGCTGGAGCCAGGAGAGGTACCAATAATGCCATCCAACTATTTTGTGTCATCACTCATCACATCATAGTCAAATGTGTTTGTATAAAGTTACTCTCATGAACTAAGAATCTTTGGGATTTGTGAACAAGGTTAACTGTATTTTATTCTGATGATTTTGTAATTCATTACAGAGGCAGAATGTGAAATACATCAGGTAATGTGAATGACAATGAGTTTAGTTTACAAAAATACATTCTGTTCTGACAAGTTTTTGGGATGTTAAAAAAAAAAATGTAAAGTATATAAAGTAATGTGACAAACTCTGGGAAAGTTTTTTTTCTAATGTCAAAGGTAAAACAAATTCACAATTCATTAGGTTTAATATGAAGGTGTTAATTGCTTAGGTGAGAATGCTATTGATTTCAGAAGCTCAAATATGTTATGTTGTTTGTGGCTATGAACAGATACTGTGACAATACATAGTTATGATAATAATTTAGTATGATATTTTCACTTATTAAACACAATAATTCTGGAAATAATTAATTGGAAAAGAAAACCCATTTAGTACACCAAAATTAAATAGGAACAAAATGTAAAGATTTTATTTATTATTTAGGTACAATAGGTGTATGAAGTGATACCAAGATGGCACGAGAGAACATGAGCAAATAGGCAGTTCTTCCCACAGTCTGTGTGATATATGTGGTCATCACCATTGACACCACCATTGCCATACTCACCACAGGACGTTCACCATGATGTCATTCTCCATAATCTCAGTAACCACACTTTGATTGGTCTTTTCACTTCCATAGGCTGATATCATGCAGTAATAATAAACTACATATATAACACCACAGTTCCATAATGCTGCAGGTGTAGTACACAGTCCCGTAACTTCACACCCATTTCAATTATACTTACATTATTTCAGGGTAAACTCCAGCCAGTCAAAGTTTGGGTACTAGGGTTAGTTCCTCATATTCATGCAAGCTTTGGAAATGTCAGAAAGTTCTTTTAATGATAGAATTTGATGAATAAACTAATTGATCAGTTTCACGAGTGTTTTGTCTTTCTCCCTTCTATTCTATTGTTGAAATATGTCAAGAATGACATGTACTTTCATGCCATGCCCACTGCGAGTCTAATTTATTGACTGTCTCTACACAAAAATGGCTTTAACATGTAGGAAGTCACCCTTTTCCTATACTCATCATGTAGAAGATCCCTTTACTAAATATATACCACCAGTGATTCATCAAAATGATTATGAAACGGATTAATTTTTACATGAATAATAGAAAGTAAGTACCAGATACTGCATATGGAATCTGAATGTTGTTGAAAAATGTACATATACATCTTCTTGACAGTTTTTAGCTCTCACTTGCTGCTGCTCCTCCTGCTCCTTCACCTTCTTCATGAGAATCATAGGTCTATGATGTACACCATATAGACCTCTCTTTGTGTGTAAATCTTATAACAGTGGCAAAAAAAAAAAAAAACTTCTGAATTACTTAATAATATGATTCTCCTCCTGACTAAGCAGCATCTTGTTCCCACAGTTGCTGGCCCTTTAGGAATGAAACCGTGATTCCTTAGGAATAAAAAATCAGGGCTCCTTTCACTTTGGCCATATTTCGCATAAAGGAGAGTTAATCTGGACACTTTTTTCCAAGTAGAATCTACATGATTTTTTTTCTCTCTGAAAATATGTAGAACAAACATTATTTATATACATACAATTTATATTTATGGTCATATAGTTTCAATATGATTTACACACAGGTTATTAAGCCAAGAATGTAGGAGGTACTCCTTTGTACTGAAGGGTAAGATAAGGAATGGATAAGATGAATACCTTAATCCTAATATACTTTCAGTTCATGGTTGGTTAATGGTTATAAGAAATAAATGTGCTCAAAATCAAAGGTCATATAGCACTATGGTAAAGTCTTGTGGCAAAAAGGGTGGAAATCAGTTAACTATCAGGATAAGATGTGTTAGATGACAAAGGTTGTAGAATGTTGTAGGACAGAAAGTGAAAAGGGTATAGAAGGGGAGTGAATGGAAAACAGTGGGGATATGTAATAGGGAGTATGATTAAAGGTACAGGGCAATCAAATCAAATAGAGAGTATGTGTGTCTGAGGAAAGGAGAGTAACACAGTATGAGGAAATTGCAAAAGAGCTATTACGAAACAATCAAATGGTAATACGCAAGATGTGAAAGTTGTGAAAGTAGGAAAAGAATCCTGAGAATGAGGTAAGGGAAGAGGGGAAGGAAGTATCAGGAAGAATGTCAGGAGGGGAGGGATCCACAGAAGGATATTGTTATGACATAAGGGAGTCATGCTTAGAAGAAATAAATGTGCTAGACATCAAAAGCCATATAGCATTATGGTAAAGTCTTGTGGTGAAAAGTGTGGAAATGAGGTAACAATCAAGAAAAGATAGGTTATAGAATATTAGTGAAAAGGGTATAGATGGCAAGCAAATGCAACACAGTGGGAATTTGCAAAAGATATATTGTGGTTAAAGGTATAGAGCAATCAAATCAAATGGCGAGTATGTGTCTGAGGAAGGGAGAGTAACACTGTATGGGAAAATTGCAAAACAGTTATTATGAAACAATCAAATGGTAATACGATAAGAAATGATAGTTGTGAAAGTAGGAGGAGAATTCTGAGAATGAAATAAGGGTACAGGAGAAGGTGGTGAAGTATCAGGAAGAATGTCAGGAGGGGAGGGATCCACAGAATGACATTCTTGTGACTTAAGAGGGTCAGGTAAGCATCTAAGTGGGGGTGGTAAGGATAATGGGGAAGGAAGAAGGAATGGTGATGCACATGGAGAAGAGGATGGGGTGTCTGTAGAGCAAATGAAGGGATTAGAGAGTGGATGAGGGGTGGACCATTCTCTTGAGTCATGTTTATGAACTTTTGGGTGTATTCAAGAGTTTCTGGAGGGGTGTCTGAGAAGCAAAGGTTTTCTTATGTGGAGAAGAGGGAATAGGAAGAGGGATGTCTGAGGAGCAGAGGGAGAGGTGAGTGTAGGAGAGGATGTGGTAGAAGATGGAGTGTAACATTTAGATTGTCTGGTGAGACAGGTAGAGTGAGAAGAAGGAGGGGAAGGGGTAGGTAATGGGTAAGTGGTAGAGATTGGAGTATCTAGATTTAGACTGGAAAAGGAATTTGACTGGGGGAGAGAGGTAGTAGAAATAGGTTGGTCTGGGGTAGAGGGAAGAAATACAGGGGTGATGCTGAGACTTCTTGAGAAGATGAGAGGGGAGCAGAGCAAAGTACAGTTTTCAAATAGGTAGAAAGAAAAGCCTTGTCAGTTTGCTTCTTGTTTGGCTTTGCATAGAGTGAGGCCTAGTCTGAAACTGAGAACTGCTACCTCAGATTGGAGCTTATAGGCAGGGCAAGTCCTACAAAATACATTATGGGAGCCACCACAATTGGCACGCATGCATGACTGAGCAGAGTAATTTGAACATTCATGACCAGGTTGGGCACATAGAAGGTAGTGGGCTGTGGAGCAACAGCATTTGGCTTGGTGACCAAAACGCCAACATTTCTGGAATTGACAGGAAAGGGGTCAATATGGTTGACAGGCTAGGAAACTCCACCAATATAAACTTCATGGGGATGATCATGTCTACAGAATTGGCAATATTGGTGTAGGACTTGTGTTGGCCTTTGGGAAGAATAATGTAGCACTGGACTGCCACTGCATCATAGTCAATGAAGCATGCAAGGAAGTCGTTTTCACAGTATGACTAGTCCTTGTCATAGACAGGAAAATCAGTCAGAGGCAGAAACAGTTCCAGTACAAGTATTAAGGGAGGAATAAGGTTGGGCAGGAATAGATTTGCCAGTGAGGTCGGTCAGGGTAGATAGTACATGAGCTTGGGACTCAGATGTAACTATGACAAGGCATGAATGATCAGAGCAACTGTGAAAGGAAACTTTGCCTACCTGCTTTTGGAGACATTGTTGGAAGAGAAGCGTATTGTCAAAGTATTGGGCTGTGGGGGGTATCACAAAGAACTGATTCCACTTGGCTGGGGCAAAAAGGATACTCAGAATGTTTGTAGAGGTGGATGCAGTAGAAAGACGAAGGCGAGAGGAAGAGGAGGTGGTATGGAGAGAGATAGAGATAGTACTGTTGGGTGAAGGACAATAAGGATTCAGAGTACTAATAAGGGGGGTGGGGATAGAACATGAAGTGGAGGCTGTTTGGAGAGAGGAAGGGGTGTATTCTGAAGGATGAGTAATGACCTGGGTGGATAATTCGCAATGGATAGAGTTGACCACAAGTATCAAGGAAGGGGTATTAGTATCAGTCAGAACCATGGTCAAAGGAGAGGCAGGGGTTGGGAAACCAATGAAATCAAATTTAGATAGACTAGTTGATGAAAAGCCAAGCTTTAATGCCCCTAATACAAGTAAAACATCTTCATTATTGGCCATAGTGAGCATAAAATAAATGGGGAGAAGAAAGGGTCTACTCCTCAGGCTCCCCATGAGGGGTAAGGGTTAGACATTTCACCAAGGGAATACCATGCCCATGGCTCCCGAAGGCCGTTCATGACTGACACAAAGCCAGCCTTCCATCTTTTCAGCATGGCTACCACACCTTAGGAAGTGGACTGAAGAAGGGGATGATGAAGAAGAGGAGGAAAGAAAAAGGGGAGAAGAAAAGACGAGGCGAGGGCTGAGGTCCAAGGTAGGGGTGATTGCCTACATTGGGCCCTAGTCTCCTAAGACCCCTATGACAACAATGAGCAAGGGATTAACGAGGAATTGGGGATCATGGCAATAAGATTTTTTTTGTGGCTAGAACTACGTCCACTAAGATCCAGTGAATAAGTTTGTACATGTTACAGTTTAAAAGATGAAACACTGATTTTGCTAAGTTTGATAAGCTGTTCATCATAAGGATAATCCACAAGAGTAAAGACAAAGGTGAGTAAATTGAACTGTTATTACAGATTCATTTGCACTTAGATTTAGGAATTCTAACAATATATATTTATTTTCTATTGAACATTTTCTGCTAAGTCAACATCTAAGGTCATTATTGGCATATACAATATATAGGGAGAGGGAGGGGCTTGGGAGCAGGTAAGTAAGCTTTTTTTATCTTTTTTGTTCAGTAAGGTGATGTTGTGGATTTTGAGAATGGTCATTGGTCAAAACAAACAAATGTAGCAGACATCAAAGGTCCTCATCTCCTAAGCCGCCCCACAACAAGAAGCAGGGGGGGGGGGGGGGGGTAACTAAATATATATCATATACAAAAGCATGAAAAATTCTTGAAATCTTCATTTTCTTTTCTTTACCACTTCATATTACCAAAATTAACACTGCTAACATCACGTAATTTTTTTTTGTAATAATCTAATGTTCTAATTTAAGCTCATTGCTCAACGATCCCAAGAACTGATCTAGTGTTTAGACTTTTGAGCCTCTGTTGGAGAGGTGGCAGCCTATAGGGCCTATTGGTTAAGTATACGTCACTTGACAACTGCTCACTTTATTTATATCATTTCTTTTATTCATTTTAATTACCATGATGTGTCATTATATTTTTTTGTATGCATATAAGTATTACTTTCATTAATACTTGCAAAGAACATCTGCTTCTTTAAGCTTTTCATCAAACATTGATAATCTATAATGATATTTCAAAATACAAAATGATTGTCCACAATATCCTTCATCAGTTCTGAAATAGGATTAGTTTCCTAATTTTATGATTTTTGTGTAGCCTTACATAACTAAAGATATCTCCCTAGTTTCAGCTCAGATAAATCTCTGGGAGTTATTTCATAATACTTTTTCTCTAATCTTTATAAAATCAACACATAATTAAGTATTTTACATTATTGGTAATTTATTTCCTTCAAATTTTCAGGTTTTCTTTTTGTCAAATCACATGTCTTTGTCTTAGTTCTAAAACTTTAGTATTAATTAAAGAATATCTATGAACTCTTTCATCATTACCTATTATATTATTCAAATAAAAATCAGTTTAAACAATAAAAAAGGCAAATACAAGAAAGGCACTTTACCTCCGGTCACAAGTAGTGTTCTTTATCCAAACACTGACAACAGGGAAAAGGGTATTGAAAAATTGCCATTATTATTGAAACCTTTATTATTACAGATTATTTACAGCTACTAGCTTGACTGGCCAGCCAGCCCCCCTTCCCCCCCCGGGTACCCCCAAAATAACCACCTTGAGTCTTCCCCCAGAACACTTCACTGCTCATCAGGTTGAAATCCTTTATACAAACCCACAGACAGCAAATATACAAATAAATAACTAATATTTACCATTTTTGTCTACCATGACAAATAGGCGGAAGGTGCTGCACACACAAGGTACTGTGTTCTTGGTTATCAATAGGATATGGCTAACTAAGATAAATTATATTAATGCCCATGCTATATCTCAGTCCAAGTTCTCCAGATTAAGGCTTTATACATACAGATCCAAAGACAATGGTAGTTATCTCCACAGGCAATAAGGAGGGTCTTGTACCTTTCAGGCGTCAGTTTACAGGTTCCAGACTTCCTGAAAGAAACTTCATACTTAAAATAGACTTCAATTAACAGATTATACATACAACAAAAAAAAAAAAGGAAGTTACATACGAAAATCCAAGAAAGAATCTACATCTGCTTCTCCTGTAAATGTATTTTAGATAGACTTTCTTGAAAACACATTGATTTCATTTTTACAGTTCAAGTACAATCAAATCTAATGGAGAAGCACAGAAATAAATCATAAAATAAATATATAATCATTACATATATATATATATATATATATATATATATATATATATATATATATATATATATATATATATATATATGTACATATATATGTATATATGTATATATACATACATATATATATATGCACATGCGTGTGTGTGTGCGTGTGCGAGAGAGAGCATAGTGTGGTGTGTGTGTAGTGTAAGTGTGAATGTGAATGGGTTTGCGTGTGTGCGTGTGCGTGTGCATATGTATACATGTATACATACATACATACATACAATATATATATATATATATATATATATATATATATATATATATATATATATATATATATATATATATATATATATATATATATACATATATACACCATACTTTCTTTTTGTAATAATGACAATCATAATGCAAATTTAATATATGTTTTCCAATAATCTTATAAAAACAAGGCTCATCTCTCATATATGTGTATGTATATATCGATATTTGAATACTTATTTCTAGCTTATAGAACAGCTTTTCCTACACAAGATAATTTAATGACTTTACCTATAATGTGTGTGTGTATGTGTGTGTGTATGTGTGTGTGCATGTTTGTGTGTTTGTGTGTGTGTGTGTGTGTGTGTGTGTGTGTGTGTGTGTGTGTGTGTGTGTGTGTGTGTGTGTGTGTGTGCGTGTGCGTGTGCGTGTGCGTGTGCGTGTGCGTGTGCGTGTGCGTGTGCGTGTGCGCGTGTTAGTTTATTTGTGTGTGTGCTTGTTTGTGTGTGTGTGCTTGTTTGTGTTTGTTTATTTGTGTGTGGTTGAGTGTTAGTTTATGGATATATGTGTATATGTGAATATATAGATATGTACACACAAAAATGTGTGCATTGATGTAAACAAAGATGCGCATGTATGTAGATATGTATACATATGTATACGTGCATGGTTGCACATGTGTGTGGATCTGTGTGATTGAATTCATCTGGATATGTATGTACATGTGTAGTGTATCTGGATGTGTAAGCACATATTTAGATACTTGTGTTGGGGGGAGTGGGGGCAGCATTGGGGCATGTGCATGTGCCTATGCGTGTATGTGCTTGCTTGCACTGCACTCGCATGAGTCAGTTGTGTTTTAACCCTAAGCTTGTTCTTCATACCAAGAGAACGGAAGAAGCTACATACTCTTCTCCTTAATACTGAACAAAAATCATCTTGTAACACAAACCACAAACATACCACTCCTACCTTCGCAGAGGCAACACGGGGTATTATTGTTTGTGTTGAACCGATCTTAGGAACACTATACAAATTTGTTTCACATTAGAAGGGACCCTCTTAATCCTCTCTATGTGTGAATTCCTACTCCAACTCGATAATTACAGAACAGCAGTGGAGTCTAAATTCGTAAGTCTCCAATACTCAACAAATTTCAACAAGTACCGATTTTCAGACACAGTACATATCATTCTCACGTATTAGTATTCATGTATTTACATCATCATTAGTAGATGAGATTTTATTCTTTAATCATAACATACAAGTCTCTCTTCAAAATAAGGAAATGTCAAAACGTGATGTGACAAAGAAAGCAAGTCCAAAGCAAGGAGGGTACCATGAATAAACTCCTATAGTAATATGAATCATATATATTCACACAGTGAAGTGGGCCAGTCTCTCAAACCATAGGGGTTACAGGAACACGCAAGAACATCTTACAGATTACTGGGATTACCCTAGTTACCCGGGGGGGAAAGTATACAGTGTGGCTGGACGGTGGTCTGGGGTGTGGGTTCAAACGACTGTAAAAGTGATATTTATCAAATAACATTTTTGGTTGATCATAAAACAGTTGTTTTTTGTTATTGTTTTTTTGTATAAGGTTTGATGACTCAACTTATTTTATTTTCTTTCTCTCATCTACTCTTTAATCTTTTTTTTTTTCTTCCTTAATCGTTTTGAGTTTGTTTGTTTGCAATTCAAGAAAACAATCTGTGTTTCACATATGAAAATACAGACACAAATGAACTTTCACATCTGCAAATATATAAAATTGATTTAGTACTCTTATACACAAGGTTTTCTGCAGTGAAATCATATAAAAGAAACACTCCCCATATATGATACTGAAAAAGGTAAGAGATGAATCTATTTTTTTTTTATAATTAGTGAAGATATAATATCAGTGTCTAAATGGGGTTAAAATATTTACTCTGAAGGAATACTTGATACATTTTATATGACACATGTTTAGATTGAACTTTCTGGAAAAGCTCCTCAGTATGGCATTTCTTTTCTGCCCTAATTAGCATACTTTAAGATAATGCAGCTCCTTAGATTTACATAGATCATAATACAACTAAGAGTTTACCTTGCTCAGAATAACATTTGATAAGAAGCTTGTCTATCATTTTCATTAATATAAAATGTGAAACAATAAATTGCTTGTATGACCAAATGTAAAATATCCTATACTCAGAGGATAAATATATATCTGTTGAAATAAGCAAGTTCTTAACAAGGAAACATCATTATATATACATAAAAACTTCTGTTATGAAGCGGCAAACTGCCAGACGCAAAGCGGCACCTGATCAGATCTAGCTCATTTCTTATAAACACTGGGAAGGATAATGAGTGAACCTTTAAACAAAATTAAAAACCATACCAGAATCCACACAAACAAATTTGTCATAAGTTCAATGCAAACTGTTTATCAAAGCAATGTTCAAGCGAGCAAACTGCTCGGTAGGTCATAAGTGCCACAGTTTAACACATCAAAGAACCACTTATAATACACAATTAGGAGTGAAGTGGTAACGCTGGTTCCATACTTGTGTTTTTTTTGCCACACCATGAGCCTTACCCCAGCCCAAGCCCTAGGATAACTCTGGACCTATAAAAAAGAATCACAGTCTGTTTAGGGAATAAACTATGTACAGAGGTGCTCGAGTGAGTGACATGATCATACTGTGACTAGACCATCCATTCAGAAATCAGTCTGTCATTCATCCAGTCAACTTATCAATCAGTCTATCAGTCTCTCTCTCTCTCTCTCTCTCTCTCTCTCTCTCTCTCTCTCTCTCTCTCTCTCTCTCTCTCTCTCTCTCTCTCTCTCTCTCTCTCTCTCTCTCAGTTATAATCATCCAAATATGGACATGTATATACTGCATTACAAAGAATGGTACATGATGAATACATTTGCAAGCCCCACTGACCTTTATGGTAAAGTGGCATGCTAGCAAGGTTATTTCAGTGCTTGATATGCACAATGGTAACATAAAATACAAGTTTAGTACCAAGTCCCAGTGCTATATATTTCAATCATATGAATGCATATGTATACATGTGAATACATATTCTAAAATATTCTAAATATTTTTTCAGGTTCATTCACATTTTAAATTTTTTCTTTAGTTAACCTTTCTTTTTCTTAAGAGAAATTAAGTTGACAAGGCTCAATACAAATACATTGTAACACAACTGAACATTCAGACAATTCATTCAGTTTTAAACGCTTTAAAAGTAGAGTCTGTTAGGAACCATAAGAATTAGTGGGATATATAGCAGCATATCAGTATTACCCAATATCAACTCTCCATGCTGATTACATTAAATTTTTTGCCATAAGGTTATATGTGTAAATTTATGAAGGTAAAAAATGCTACAGCCACCAACAGATTTAGTTAAAAAAGGAACATGAAAAAAATCATTGCTAATGCCCAATGAAAAAAAAATCTATTCCCCAAAAGATTTTGCTACATAATAATATATTGAGAAAGTTATACTAAGACTGAACTAAACATTCACTCTTAGACTTCATTTGTATTTTACTTTAATTATTCTTCCAATGAACTTTAAAGTTACAAAATAATTTTCTTTACTCTTAATGACTTGGGAAGATTACATTACATAAGTAGTATGCATGTGTAAATGTATGTGATCATGCATGTGTTCATGTACATGGGTATGGGATGTCAAGCATATCCATTTGTTTGTGTCTGTTTTAGGGTGTGTGTAAGTGAATGGATATTTGCGTGTTTGAGACATGTCTATGAATGTCTGAATGTACAGTTCACCCTTGACATAGTGGACCTTACATAATAGATTTGGGATAATACAGATAAAATGCACTCTTATAATCTCTTTATTATTGTATTACTGTATTTTATATTTCCCCATTACTGTACTTGATTCTGTATGAATAAGAAAACACTGGCTGTGATGTGTGTCTTTATTTGCATACATGTGGCTCATGTCAGAGCTGGTGTGAATCATGTGGCATGAATATTTTTCTTGCCAGTAAATGAAGGTGTATTATAGCATACGTATAAAAAGGATAACATTGTATAACTTCACTTTTATCTAATGTTTAAGTATGAACAATAAAATCAAGTGCCAGATACTTTGAGCAAACTGCACTAATGGACTAAGGTTCCAAAATATCAAGGACAAACTGTATTTCAGTACGGTTTCTTTTCTTCTTAAAATGTACAAAGTCTGACCCTAAAAGCAATTAGGAAATAGGTACCAATGAAGACAAGATTTCTAAATCAGATAACCCAATGTTGTGAAAGTATTATTGAATAATTCTTATCCTTCAAAATATATTTCAATAAATGTACACTTTCATTCGCATACAGAGTCACATACAAACAAACCATCTTTCCTATCAGTTTCACCCACCTATCCACCCACTGTCCATATCTCTTTATAAGAAAAACAAAGAAAACTGGCATAATGGTTTAACGCATGCATCTTTTGCATCCCTAAAATAGAATCTAGTAATGTAGTAGTAACAACAAATGACTACTGGGTGCTAATCTCATCTTCATACACATGCTCTCACCTTCATTTGCTTTTCCATTTGTTGGCAATGATTGTGACTTACTATTGACAACTTTTTAACAAATCCCTCTTTGCTGCTCAACTAAGTCCAGTTCATATATTACAGACATGCAAAATGCAGCCAAATACTAATAATTTGGTATATCCTGTATGAAAAATAATAAAGAAAACCAAAAAAATAAAATATTCTCACCAATGCACCATTTACTTCCAATAAAGAATGTTTACTCAGCACACATATCTTCCTCTCTTTCTTTCTTTCTCTTTCTCTCTATCTCATTCTCACTCTCCATAAGTGACTCCTCTCACCACCTCCTCTTTTTTTATCTGAACTCCTCCTCTTCCTCTTCCTCCTCTCACCAAAACCTCCTCCTCTTTCTCTTCCTTCTCTTTCTCTCACCTCTCACCACCACTTCCTCTTCCTCCTCCTTTCACCTTTCAACACCACCACCTCTTCTTGTTCTCACCTCTCATCTCCTCCTTTTCCTCCTCCTCCTCTTCTTCCTCTCCCCTCCTGGCTGGTTTCACCTGGCCGAGTCAAAGAGTTCCTTCCCAACACAATTATCAGCTACTCACAGTAAGGGGCCCCACACTCTCATGGCTAGGGGGGTATGGGGGTGGGGGGTGGGGGGGGATGTACAAGAGTGATAATAATAATAATTGTATATTACATCATCATCATCATCATCATAGCAATGACTAACTTCTAGGTCACCACATCTTGAGTACAAAAATAGCTCATTGATACAAAGGGACAACATTTTTTTTTTCTCTTTTTTTTCTTTTTTTTTTTTTTCTTTTATGTACAGCCTGTCTGTGTCACACATCCACTCCTAACACCATCTGCTTATCCAACCTGTTCATTAGAAACTTTACAACATAATCAGCAGTGTGTTCCTCTTAATATATAATAATTTTTTTTGGACTGAAAATTTTTCTCTCAACAAATGGCTCAAAGTGTATTCCATTACATACTGACATTATCCTTAATAATAGTAATGGTGATACTGCTAGCATCGACAGTACACTAATAATTAAAATAAATGAAACAAAGTAATTATAATCAAAATAACAGCAATAAAAATGTAATAAGGATAATAGCATTATTATTGTTATTTGTATAATGAGCATAAAAATTCTCATTTTAATCATTATCAAAATGATAAAGATAATGACATTGATAATAGCAATAATAATGATAATATCAATATAAATATTGATATCAATACCAATACCAATAATAAAGATAGTGATAATGATAATAATAATAATAATAATAATAATAATAATAATAATAATAATAATAATAATAATAATAATAATAATGATAATAATAATAACAATGATCATGAAATATTCAATTAAAGCAAATAATTTCAAGGAACAAGGTTTAGAAGTAAGGGTGAGTTACTTTATCCCCATCTATCTCCAGTATGTTAACACTTGAAGCGCCTTTCTGACTCAGCTGGCCTTCTCTCTTTCACTCCACCATCTAGCACCAGCTGCAAATGACAATTCAAAATCCAATTTCTAAATTTAGAAGTGACAAATTTTACTGCACAAGTTCTTAAAAAAAACGCTCTGGCTACAACAAGTCATGCCGCCCTCTTAACGTTTCACATGTGACCACAGCAAGGCTTCGTAAATCTAACCGGCAACTCGTCTCCGAGGCTGCCATTAAGGGTCATACTCCAGGCTGAACTCGGAAAGTGTACAACAACAACGCCCTGCGACTTCAGCTCTTTAAATACACTCGATGTATAAGTCACAAAAACAGAATTCCTACCTACAAGAGGGTGAAGAAGAAGAAAAAAATATTACACTCAAATCAACCGTTATCTTACCAATTAAACACTCCACATTTTGGAATCAATAACCAACTACTTATTCTATCCTCGTTTATGTTTACATATATATAAATATAAATACATATTTATATAAACATATATCCATGTCTTTTTAAAAATTTCAAGGTTATGTCTGGGTGTAAAATGGATGTGCTCTGGGAGAACACATGAATGTACTCTTTTCAATTACAATTTCAGAAAATATAAGCATAAATATATATGTGTGTATGTGTGTATGTGTGTGTGTGTGTGTGTGTGTGTGTGTGTGTGTGTGTGTGTGTGTGTGTGTGTGTGTGTGTGTGTGTGTGTGTGTGTGTGTGTGTGTGTGTGTGTGTGTGTGTTTGTTTGTTTGTGTGTGTGTGTGCACACATGCGCGCCCTTGCATGTGTGCTTGTGTATGAGTTAGCACATGTTTGTATGTACACATGTGTATGCCTATGTTTGTGTATGTTTTTGCATTTGTGTTTGTGTGTGTCCGCATGTGCGTTTGCATGTGTATACACATGTTCATGTAAATGGGCATGTAAATGAATACATGTATACACAAATGTATATATTTTTACGCATGTGTATGTAAATGTACAATGTGTGTGTGACAGTAAACATTAGTGTGAGTGTGCTAGCCAGCATGAAGATACATGTAGATTATGAGAGTGACTGTAGGCACAGGTGTATGCAAGTATCTGATTCCACATTCACCCTGTCAGCCCAGGATGTGTTGTAACCTCCACGAACGCAGCTCCAAAGATGCACCCACCAAGTCAGGCACAAATAATACACTTAACCCCTTGACAGCGGTTTTCTGTTACTTATCATTTACATTAATGGGATGATCCATTCAATGTACAGAACAACGTATGATGTCCTTCACACAATGAGGCAATATATACCATATTTGCATGTGTAAATATTCCACATACAAATACTAAAAGTTATATTAGTGAGTATTTTGGTAATAAGGTCTGCATTATTTGCACTAATCTTACTTTTATTTACAGAATATAACTGAGTAGTGTTAACTACTATGCAAATTCTTGATCAACAATATTTTACTAGTTTTGATGAATGTTATTTCCTGCATCAATTACATGATAAAATGAAATAATATACATACCTACAGAAGAGCAACAAATAGAAAATTATCTTCACTATCCTCCTGCCATCAATATCTTTCAATTTATTCACTTAATTTCATATCCAAAGGACAAAAATGTTTATACCCTTCTCATCATTTTCCAGCAGCAATACGAGTCCATTACAGTCTTTCCTTCTTATCCTAGTGGACAAATCTAACTCACGACAACATTAAGGTGATATGATGCAACAACATGTCTCCCTGCAACCACAGCTCATTATACGTTCTTAAGACTTACGAAGACTTCAAATAGAATACAAATTACAATCTCTAATACGTACGTGACACTACAGAAATCAACTGATCTTCCTTGAGATACTTTTCTTAAAATAGTTTATAACAAAGTCCCTGATATACCACAAAAAATTACTGAAAGCATCTCTGATTTCTTCATATTATTCTGTTTTACTCTTCCTTACTACCGCCGTCAAGGGGTTATCACATAGATTGGATTGAATTCAAAAGAGAAAATGAAGTTTTAGTTCTGTCAAAGGCTTATAAACTCACTTTGTATAACGAATAAATTTTTAATACTCATGCTTCATCTCCTCTATTCATACTTGGAACAATAGTTTCATCTTTCTCGCAAATGTTTTCATTTTTCACTTTTTACAAATGAAAGTTATACATTTCACAAAGAGCCCGATGTCAAAATCATGAAAATCTTTCCCTTCTTGCTCAAATAATACTGCTCATCAAAATTAATATTAATTCAGGATATTCCATTGGTGACAATGGGTATCAATTCCAATAAAAAAATATCTAAAAAATGTTTCTATTAACTTTCTCTTTACACTTGGCTATATTATTTCCCTACCAATTTTTTGTTTTGGAAAAAAAAAAGTTAAGTATGAAAGAATATTCAAAATTATTTTTGTTATTACTAGTATACTAAGAAATATACCATATTAATAAAAAAACAATTATTAATCTCTCACAACAAACTAATGATTTAAAATAGAGATCTGAACACTAAAATTCTGAAATTTCAAAAATTTTCTACAACAGCAAAAGAAAGATTTCCTTGCCATTAACAAAGGGCATTTGAAACTTGGGGTAATTAATTACACTGAACTTTTATGTCTCTCTGTTTTCCAACTTTATTTTCCTTCCAAGTACTTGGTGTCATCTATCAATATTTCCAAAAAAGGCTCGACAGCTCAGCTTTCTCACCCAAGATCTTGTCCACAACAGACAGACAAGACACATATAACTTCAGTGATTATACAGAGCTGGTAAAACATTAAATATGTATATATACTTTTCTACCTCATTCATCTCCACCTTCTCAATACAAAATATCCCTTTCTCCTCTCAGATCTTTCTTCTGTTCCTGTGGTAAAACTTAAGTACTAGTTGACTGAAAAAAAGCATCTTTTACATAATTGGAATGCTCAATAGCTCAAATAAAGTGTCAATACTGGCTTTTCAACCTCAATTCTTGCATATCTGACTACTAATTAAGGTCAGAAAATGGTGGTAGTTCAAAAGTCCCTTATCAACGCAGTCTTACAATATACCTTGTAACTGATAAGTGCCCTATGGAATAAAGCTGATAACATACATGCCATAATGCTGCATAGCCCTGTATGCAATAAATGGAAACAGCTGATTAAGAAGAAATATGGCAAGCACTTCTGTGGTTCTGTCTACAAATAGCTATTATTTATTGCTGCAAGTTGAAGTGGCACTATATTAGGCATGTTACCTTTTTTTTTCCTTTCATAACATTTTTAGAAATAAAAAAAGGTTTTGTTTCCCTATACCATGCAAAGAAGTGGCAATGCTGAGCCTTTGTGCAGGGTGATATATAAGCCTGATTTGTGTGGATGCTTTAAAATAACACTGCCTTCCAAACGTACAAGTCACATAGTTTTAAGCAATGAAGATGGTGGCTAAACAATAATACTAGAGTATTTTCATTTATTTGCGGTAATACTGCAAATATGATTTACTTTTTTAGTGGAAATACATTTTACCTTGTATATATATTTTTGGCTCTGACTTCTAAAGTGGTCTCAATTGTTACAAGGATGTGGGCAAGGATTTCAGGTGCAATACAGGATTCAAACAGAGTAAATATGGACCATTTCATCACTGACATATCAATCATATATTGTATATGTTGGTGTATAGCATGGAATTTGAACCTTTAAAAAAATCATCCCAGAATCAGGAGTCATCTGTGCATGAGGCACAAAATATGAACCCTAACTACCTGTTGTTTAGAGGGTCACCAATGACAGTGGTAAAGAGCATAAAGTACTTACATAATTCATAATTTGTCCTACCATTGGATATTTCCAAACAAAGCTTGACAGTACAGTAAATCTATATTGATTGTGATGGTGTAGCAAAATAATGAACATGTACTACAAACCTATTCAACAGCATTGCACAGCTCAGCTGAGGATATCATTCAAAGATTATGAACAGTCATACCAAATGTCTGAAGTAAAACAAGAATTGACAAAATAAAGAAAATACCTGCAATGTAATTTAGAGCCATATTCTTAATGTACTATATCAAACATAGAAGTAAGAATATCTATCAATAATTTTAATCAAAAGGTAAAATTATGCCTGGCAACATATCAACACTTCACTAGTGGTAATGCTACAACAGCTGAGTAAGTTTGATGCATATCACGATAGGTAACTGACAGCATTTTGGCAATATTTGAAATGAACCAGTCGTTTTTTGAATAATCAAGACTGTGTTGGTTAACAGCATACTAAAGTCACTCCACTGATCAGCAGGATGGTTGGCAAATGCTTAATGGAAAAGTAAGCTCTCAATACTAAGACCTTGAATCACCTCATACACCAAGTATAGTTTAAAACCTACATTTAAAATTGAAATATTAGGTATCCACCTTATATACCAACATATACAGTATACCTGCAAGATTATGTAACATATCTTCCTTTTCTTTACGATAACAGCATAAGGGGCATATTCATGGTTGAGATTATTATATAAAACTGTATAAACTTCCATCACATCAGAACCAATGCCTTTTTTCCATTGTCACTTCTTTGACATGCAAACAAAGTTTTTTTTCCACATTTAACTCACAGTCTTTCACAGAAGTTTCCTACTGAACTTTCCATCACATGAGGATGAGGCTTGGCAGCACAGGAGTCTCCACTGTAGGCAGAATTAATACTTACTGAAAAGATGACATCAACACCCGGTATGCGATGGCAAGTGAGGCCGTCGTTGGCAATGCTTGGTGTGTAGTGCGCTGGCGAGCGGTCACTGCGTCTCGGTTTCCAAGAGACCTTTTCATATGCCAGTTTTTCTTGTTTTGTCAACCACTTACACATCATGCAAGAACCCTCTCTCTCTCTCTCTCTTTCCAGCAGTGGGTATGATTCACTCTACTGTTTCTTTTACATACTATTGTACAGTTCAACAAGCAATATATTCTAGTTGCATAAAACAAGTCTAACGATATATATGTCTTGACAAATTGAGTTTCACCTGTTAAAACCTGATCAACAAAAGAGGACATCGTGCATATCAAACTGTAGGATTGTGATGATATGATTCCAAAGGTTGTCCAATGATAACTCTATAGTGTGTGTGTAATGCCAGGAGGGAATTCAGTCGCAGTTGTCTTGAAAAATGAGTCGGACAAAGCCTGGGTCACCTTCTAAAGGTGAAGCACAAAATGGACAAGCTGCATGAAACCCATTGGTCCCATGAGGAATAGGTACTGCAGCCCAATACCTGTCCAAGGAGGAAAAGTACCCATTATTAATATAATTTTTAAAATGTTATGTACTGTCATCCTAAATAATATATATCAATATCTACAAAATGTACAAAACCCAAAACTACCTCATGACTCATGAAATACATATAATATAAAAAAAAGACAAGCAAAAATTAGTGCACCACCAAAAAACAGACCAACTTACCTAACTGTCTTTTCAGAGGCCATATGTCCACAAGGATTAAAGCAGAATGACGGAGGGCCACTGTCAACATAAAAGGCAGGCTCGATGCCCATACATAACTTGACTACTGGCCCAACCTGCAAGAGATGGCAAGTTAGAATAATAAATATAGAATTTTATCATTATGTCTTCACTATATGTGTATGATTATATATTTAAATACTTATATACATGTATATATACATATATATAGAGGAGGAGGAAGGGAGGAGGGAAGGAGGAGGGAAGGAGGGGAGAAGGAGGAGGGGAAGGGGAGGAGAGAAGGAGGAGGAGGAGGAGGAGGAGGAGGAGGAGGAGGAGGAGGAGGAGGAGGAGGAGGAGGAGGAGGAGGAGGAGGAGGAGGAGGAGGAGGTGGGGAGGAGGTGGGGAGGAGGGACGAAGGAGGAGAGGAGGAGGAAGAAGGAGGAGGAGGAGGAGGAGGAGGAGGAGGAGGAGGAGGAGGAGGAGAAGGAGGAGGAGGTGGAGGGGAGAAGGAGGAGGGGAGGTGGAGGAGAGGAGAGGAGGAGGAGGAGGAGGAGGAGGAGGAGGAGGAGGAGGAGAAGGAGGAGAAGGAGGAGGAGGAGGAGGAGGATGAGAAGGAGGAGGAGGAGGAGGAGGAGGGGGAGGGGAGGAGGAGGAGGAGGAGGAGGAGGAGGAGGAGGAGGAGGAGGAGGAGGAGGAGGAGGAGAAGGAGGAGGGGGAGGGGGGGAGGAGGAGGATTAACAACATTTCAAAATATGTCAATAAACATAAATTCATAAATTATTACAATATACAGCAAAAAAAATGATGCATCAGGGAGAGTATACACATGCTAATTACTATAACAATAATAAAAAAAAGTACCTATATACATATTAGACTTACAATTTAGACCAATATAATTTCACCAATGAACAAAACCATGAAAAAAATAACCATCATCCACATTTTCTTTGCATAAGAAAAGATTTAAATATAACGATACTGACAAGTGATTTTACAAAAGTTTCCAACACTTCCTATCCCATGTAGAAAATGGTAGTCTCTGTGTATTATCAAATTTTACATATTAATGGTGTTATTTTATTTCCTTCTCCTAATCCGTTTCATATCTATACTATATCAATATCCTTAACTATCATATGTAATTAAGTCTATATCCCTATTTATTGCATACTATATCTATATCCTTTTCTATCTGAAGTCTGAGCTGCCTCAATACAGCATATATGGAAACTGCAAACAAGTATTACATTTTAAACATATGAATTATTTTCACCTCTTCTTCAGTGTGAATATGATGAACTGGTTTATTTGGTACTGTTAGGCTTCTATTGCCTTAACTGAACAACCAGTTGAAAATTCAGTGTATATGTATGTGTGTGTATATGTACATATATATACATGTACATATATATATGTACATGTACATGCTTATGTATATATGTATATATATGTATACAGATATATACATATGTATATATATGTATGTCTATATATATGTATCTATGTGAACTGTATGTGTATATATGTATGTGTATGTATATGTATATGTATATGTATATGTATATGTATATGTGTATGTGTATGTACATGTACATACACATACATGTATACACATACATATATACACATACAGTTCACATAGATACATATATATAGACACATACATATATATACATATGTATATATATACATGTACATGTACATGTATATATATACATGTACATGTACATGTATATATGTACATGTACATGTATATATGTACATGTACATGTATATATGTACATGTACATGTATATATGTACATGTACATGTACATACATGTACATGTACATGTATATGTATATGTATGTGTATGTATGTGTATATGTATATGTATATATGTGTATGTATGTGTATGTAAGTGTATGTATGTGTATGCATGTGTATGCATGTGTATGCATGTGTATGCATGTGTATGCATGTGTATGCATGTGTATGCATGTGTATGTATATGTATGTATGTATGCATGTATGTATGTGTGTATGTGTGTGTTTTTTGTCTATGCAGATCAAGAAACATCTATAACCATAATCCTCACACATCATCTCTTCCTATTTTCTACTGATTTGAAACACACATGTCAATCTGTTAAAACAACAATCTAAGTTACTAAAGATTAATTATCAAAGACAAGGATGGTTTTCCTCTGTTCCTCATAATCAAGATCATCATGTTTCCTTATCAACATTTACCTTCTTGTCTGTTAATTCTGTATTTATTTCATTTATTCAAACCTTTTTTTTCCCTAATATACAAATTATACCAACTTCTATTCCTCTTAGCCAATAAAAAACTTAAATTTTCTCCACTTCACTCTAAAACAAACATTCTTTATTCTGTTCAAATGTGTGCAATACCATACCTGACCATCATTTCTTTATGACATCTCTCTTCTTATAAAACCTTGTCCACTAATGATCAAAACCTAATTATAAGGTACATTACAGATAGCTACAGCTATTTGCAACAAAATTAAAATACAAAGAAAAAAAATTATCAACCATATAAAATTTGAAATCTAATATTTCTTAATGTCACAAATATACAAATCCAGATAACAGCTTGGGACACAAAGAGCATGGTAATATGCAATTAAAAAACATTTTCACAAATTCCAAAGGATATGTTCAATTCCTTTTCACTTTGATTACATCATTTCTTTCCAACTGCAACAAAAACACATTCCACAGGGTAAATTTGTATCTGCAACATCACAGTTCTTTGCAATATGAAAGATATCAAGTTCCTTGAAGCTGGACACTAATTTCATCACCTGGAAATCTGTTCACTTGATAAACACACTGCATTAGCACTTTGTCTCGATAGCACAGTAAGAAATACAATGGTTCACTTTCTTCACCAATATTGAATCTAGTGTCACTGCAATTTCAATTGCAGCTTTGCTACACAACACCAAGAGAATAACATCACTGAATCAGAAAATGCATAATTTCAATTATTCAGAAACCACAATGGAGAGAAGAATATATCAGCCTGATGCACAGACACGGCCCAGCACTCCCTACAGGGGAAACCTGGGACAGAATGACCCACACACAAATAAACACTGAGCAAGATTACCTTAAGACACATAGGGCAAGTGTGGGAATTCGAGTCCTTCTCATGACCCCACTCATGTAAACCCTGCACATGGCCACAGTTCAGATACACTACAGGCTGCTTTTCCGTGCTTGTGAGGGTAGCCTTTCTGGGTATGACTAAGGTATTGAGTCCTACAGGGCACTGTGGACGACCTGCATTGAGCTCGTCCACCATCTGTTCTAGATGTCGTTTCGTCTGGAAGTTAGACAAAGTTGTGCTTAACTCGTTATTTTTTTAAAAATGAAACATATGGCTCTTACATACATGCACACACATGCACACACACACACACGCATACACACATGTAAACTTGGTCAATGAAGAACTTATCAAAGATTAAACCATCTATCTATTTATATATCTACTAATCAGTCTATCAAAAGTTTGAAAGGCATTGCATCTCTTAAATCATATTAAAGGCATAATAATGACAATGATAATAAAAATAAAGGACACCTTAAATATACACAACCCTTTCTCCCACTCCCCCCCTTCAAAAATATAAATATCAACTACTCCTTATTTACTACTCCAAATAAAAAAAAAGTGTCTACAAACGATACAACTCTAATATTTCACAAATATGCAAGAGAACTTACGGGAGATTTTCCTAAACCCTCTGCCGACCTCCATAGTAACGTAGCTCCACACAAGTCTATCAACGTGCCATCTTGTAATACATTTGTTTCCTCATCAATCTGGAAAAGTAATTGTGGTTCTCATTTCATATCTTCTGTAAACCACTGCTTATAATTCTAATACAATGGAAGTTGTGTTGATAGATAACAATGACAATAAAACTGGATACGATAATCAACAGGACTATATTAACAATTACAATAATGATATAATGTATATAAAAAAAAAGGACTACAAACAGCAAAATTAATTACAGCAACAATGACAATAACAATACCATACCACATGAAAATATAACCCACCTTTATGCCTTTCTGTGGGGCAGACCGTGATTCTCTTAATGCATAAACACCTCCCCCGACTGATACTTCCCTCCAGATGCCCGGTTTGGCCTCGCCTCCACAAAATTGACTTGGTGGATGCATAATGAGGACTCCATTTGTTGTCAGGCCGTCGATTTCTCCGTTGTTCTGCCATTTAGTCGCTTTTTCCTGGAAACAAATAAGGGTCAGTTAGATGCGTTTTTTTTTGTAAATCGATTCATGAATGTACTTAATTATATTTTCCAATCCATACAATAAATTCTGTATAAGAGCGAGTTTCTTTCACTAAGACAAACAAACACAAGAGAAAATGAAAATAGCAAAATTTCCTAATGAATCTCTCACAAAAAATATCATTTCATTTCACTAAAAAAAATCATATCACTATCACACAGCTTATAAAAACACTGAAGTAAAAGAAATTCACCCCCAGAAATATGTTTCTCGACGAATCGAAGCCAGCAGCATAAACCTGAGTGGTGCGAGTTGTTCTGTGAGCAATTATACGACACGCAAATCTGCTAATTGTACTCTGCGTCACCTGAAAAAAATATATATATATTTTAGGGAAATATTTTTGCAGCTTAATTAAAAAAAAGAACATAACAAGAGACAGGGAAAAAATGCAGATGATCATTAAAAACAATACCACAGAACATCCCCGATATAAACTGTACACAGAATATCCAAAAGAGAAGACAAAAGTTAAACCTGTACGATTGATAACTACACCTTACCTTCAATTCCCCATGTTTATCACCAGGTATCGTGTCCATCACAACAAAGTCTATGGGTGTTTCAGACGACCGACCAATTTGAAACATGTCCGTCTCTGTATCTAACTGATACTCTACAATCACCGCTTGGTTTCGTGATAGCGTATATGAGATGCTGTGTTGCTGGGCGTCCAATATAGCCTGTAAGAATATTTTGTTCAGCACATCATCCAGAAATGCCAATGAAAAACAAAAAATTCAAAATGCCAAAAATCTATCTTCGCATTTACAGAATACCGTGAATAGAATACTATTATCCTTATTAAATGAAAATGGAAACGAATAAAAAGTAATCTAAGCAACAAATAAAACTCATATAAATCAAGTATAATCAATTCTCACCTCCTGAAGAAAAAAAGAAAACAAACATTACCTGTGTATTTTGTGGCGTTCGCACCACATAATGCCGAGCAGGTTTGACTCCATTGGCCGCCTGGCGTCTGTGCAACACAAACTTGCTTCTACGTCTACCCTTATCACAGGGAGGTAAAAAACCATTATACCTAGAAAATCAAGAAAATAATATGTTATAATATCCCTGTTTATGATGGCTGGATATAATTCTAATATAAAAGAAAATAAGTACAATAAATACCTAAGCAGAATGATTTATTGGAAGAGGGAGACAGGAAGATAGAAGGAAAAAGAAAATGAGGGGGATAATAGTGAGAAGACAGGGAGGGGGAGGGGGAGGGGGAGGGGGAGGGGGAGGGGGAGGGAGGAGGAGGAGGAGGAGGAGGAGGAGGAGGAGGAGGAGGAGGAGGAGGAGGAGGAGGAGGAGGAGGAGGAGGAGGAGGAGGAGGAGGAGGAGGGGGAGGGAGAGGGAGAGGGAGACGGAGAGGGAGAGAAGGAGGGGGAGGGGGAGAGAGAGGGAGTAGGAGGGAGAGGGAGGGAGAGGAAGGAGAGGGAGAGGAAGAGGGAGGAGGAAGGAGAGGGAGAGGGGGGGGAGGAGGGAGAGGGAGATGGAGGAGGAGGAGGAGGAGGGAGGAGGAGGAGGAGGAGGAGGAGGAGGAGGAGGAGGAGGAGGAGGAGGAGGAGGAGGAGGAGGAGGGAGAGGGAGAGGGAGAGGAAGAGGGAGGAAGAGGAAGAGGGAGAGGGAGGAGGAGGAGGGAGAGGGAGAGGGAGGAGGAGGAGGGAGAGGGAGAGGGAGGAGGAGGAAGAGGGAGGGAGGGAGGGGGAGAGAGAGAAAAAGAGAGAGAGAGAGAGAGAGAGAGAGAGAGAGAGAGAGAGAGAGAGAGAGAGAGAGAGAGAGAGAGAGAGAGAGGGAGGGAGGGAGGGAGGGAGGGAGGGAGGAAGGGGAGGGAGGAAGGGGAGGAAGGAAGGGAGGGAGGGGAGGGAGGAGGGAGGAGGGAGGGGTGAGGGGAGGGGAGGGGAGGAAGGGGGAGGGAGGAGGAGGAAGAGGGAGAGGGAGGGGGAGGGAGGAGGAGGGAGAGGGAGAGGGAGAGAGAGGAGGGGGAGGGGGAGGGGGAGGGAGAGGGAGGAGGAGGGAGAGGGAGAGGGAGAAGGAGGGAGAGGAAGGAGAGGGAAAGGGGGGAGGAGGAGAGAGAGGAAGATGGAGGAGGAGGAGGAGGAGGAGGAGGAGGGAGAGGGAGAGGGAGAGGGAGAGGAGGAGGGAGAGGGAGAGGGAGAGGAGGAGGAGGGAGAGGAAGAGGGTGAGGGAGGAAGAGGGAGAGGGAGAGGGAGGAGGAGGAGGAGGAGGAGGAGGAGGAGGAGGAGGAGGAGGAGGAGGAGGAGGAGGGAGAGGGAGGAGTAGGAGGGAGAGGGAGAGAGGGAGGGAGGAAGGGGGAGAGAGAGAAAAAAAAGAGAGAGAGAGAGAGAGAGAGAGAGAGAGAGAGAGAGAGAGAGAGAGAGAGAGAGAGAGAGAGAGAGAGAGAGAGGGAGGGAGGGAGGGAGGAAGGGAGGAAGGGAGGAAGGGAGGAAGGGAGGAAGGAAGGAAGGAAGGAAGGAAGGAAGGAAGGAAGGAAGGAAGGAAGGAAGGAAGGAAGGAAAGAAGGAAGGGACGGGAGGGAGGAGGGAGGGGAAGAGAGAGAGAGAGAGAGAGAGAGAGAGAGAGAGAGAGAGAGAGAGAGAGAGAGAGAGAGAGAGAGAGAGAGAGAGAGAGAGAGAGAGAGAGAGAGAGAGAAATCAAATCGAAATGAGAGTAACATTACCAACAATGTCATCTGAAATATTCTAAACAAAAGAAAGAAAACGAATGGGAGGATGGAAGGAAGCAAGAAA